GGTGAGAACCCGGCGTGCTCCGTCCCGGCTTTGTAGGGATGCGAGGTCAATGGTCTAACGACTACGGCATGCACGACTATGAGTACACCCCCCCCCCGGGTTGAGTGATGTCGCAGTGCCAGACACATAGACGTGTTGAGTGAGGATCGACACAAACTGAACCTCACAGGTGATTTGTGATGGAGATTGCCGGACACATATACGTGTTGAGTGAGGATAGCTACACACTGATCCCTCACAGATGCATTGGTTTTTGAGTTTGCCAGACATATAGACGCGTTGAGTGGGAATAGCTGCATACTGAAACCTCACAGATGCATTGGATTTTGAGATTGCCAGGCATATAGACGCGTTGAGTGGGGATAGCTGCATACTGAAACTTCACACATGCATTGGTTTTTGAGATTGCCAGACTCATAGACGCGCTGAGTGGGAATAGCTACATACTGAAACCTCACGAGTTGAGAGTGCCGGACACAAAGACGCATTGAGTGAGGATAGACACACACTGAACCTCACAGGTGATTTTTGATGGAGTTTGCCGGACATAGAGACGCGTTAAGTGAGGATAGCTGCATACTGAAACCTCACAGGTGCATCGGTTTTGAGATTGCCAGACATAGAGACGCGCTGAGTGGGAATAGCTACATACTGAAACCTCACGAGTTGAGTGATGTTGGATAGTGCCAGACACATAGACGCTTTGAGTGAGGATAGACACACACTGAAACCTCAGATGATTTGTATTGGATATTGCCGGACACATAGACGCGCTGAATGGGGTTAGCTGCATATCCTCACAGATGGATTGGTGTTTGAGTTTGCCAGACACATAGACGCGCTGCGTGGGGATAGCTACATACTGAAACCTCACGAGTTGAGTTGATGTTCGATAGTGCCGGACACATAGACGCTTTGAGTGAGGATAGAGGTCGAAACCATGAAGGCCGCATAACAGCATGGCTCACAGGTGATTTGTGTTGGATATTGCCGGACATATAGACGTATTGAGCGAGGATAGCTGCATAACCTCACAGATGGATTGTTTCTTGAGATTGCCAGACACATAGACGCGTTTTGTGGGGATAGCTACATGCTGAAACCTCACGAATTGAGTGCTGTTGGATAGTGCCGGTC